AGAAATTTTTTAAAAATTAACTGTCCACACTCTATAGCCATACCACCCCGAACACAGCCCATCTTGTCTGATATTAACTAGCCATAGCTCCTTCCCTCATGGCATTGCTAAACATATATATCAACACCCAAGGCAGTGGAGAAAGTGACGCCATAGTTTAGATTAGATTTTCTTTAATCCAGGAAACAGTTTTGCTTATTTCTCTAAACACAGAAGATCAGTGCTGTAGTGGAGTTGGGGAGTTGGGCACCCCATGAGTTTGCCTTTCCTTGCACAGTGAGCACAATTTGAAATCATGAAGGGGACCAAAGACACCTCTCTGAGGTGAAACCCAGAGATGAGAGCACCTCAGAGTTTAAAATTGTCCCACTGGGAATATGTTTGTTACATTTTTACTTTTAAATCAAAACCTTGTCTAATTCATGATTTTTTAAAAATTTGGACCAGTAAGGTTCTGCGAAATGATGAGGATTTGGGAAATCAAAGGGACTTGGTACCAAAGAGAATCAATGGAAGAAAATGTATCCCTGGATGTCATTTCTTGTGAAAGCTGTTTTACCAGGGGACAGTGGGTATTCTAGGAGCTCCAGAAGTGGGCCCTAAAATGTGAGCCTAGATTCCTATCAGTTCCTAGGTGGGGTCAGCATGGTCATGGTCATCCCAGCAGCCCTTTCTATTTCTGTGAGTTCTTCCCAGGGGCTTTCTTCTTCCTTCTCCTTTTTGAGTGCTCAGGCTCAAACCCAAGGCCCTGTGCAACAAAGCATGTGCCTTAGTGCCAAGCCACACCCCGGTGCGTTGCTCACTGCCAGGTGGGATTACAGCAGCTCTGTTGAAGTCATTTGCACTAGACAGCCATTGCCCTGCTGGTCAGTCCCGGGGCTGTAGTAACTGTCAGCCTGGCCAAGCAAGCCCATTGTTGACCGAGTTTGATTGTGGTGTCACCGGGTGCCATGAGTTCTCTGGCTCTTGTCCTTGCCTCTTTCACTCCTCAGTTAAGGTGTCTCCTTGCTAATGAAGCAGGGCCAGTGTTGATGATACTTAACAGGGTCTCACTTTCACTTGAAGATTTGCCCGGGAAGCAGAAACTGTTGACATGGCCTCTGATGAAAACACTGAGGATAGCAAATTGCCATGAACAAAAAAAAAAAAAAAAAAAAAAGAAAGAAAAAAAAAGCCAGAGGGAAGGAGAAGTGTGCCCAATGAGAGGGAGGGGTGCCTGCCACTCTCCCTGTTCTGAAATAGGCCACTTCACTTGCCCCAAGCACCAGTCAGTGGGAGCCAAGGACCCTCAATGCCTACTTCTGTGTGCCCCAAGCTCAGAGAAAGTGGGTCACATTGTGGAGAGCCCTTTCTATCTTGACACACAGTGAGGTATCACTTAGCTGGATCTTTATCTCAAGTGCTAACTGATGCTGTTAACTTTCTGCCCGGATGCCAGGAAATAGTAATGAGGAAATCACATTCTGTTCGTCTTGTACTTGGAAGTTATATTTAGAGAATCGTGTTCTTGAGCCAAAGGGCACTAAATAACCCTAAACTACTCAGTGCACTTGAAGACATGAGGCCTTGAAACATCTCCTTGGAACCTTGCACAGCGAGCGCCACTTGGCTGTAATCCTAGCACTTGGGAAGTAGAGACAGGAGGGTCAGGAGTTCAAGGCCCACCTCTGCTGCATAGTAAGTTGGAGACTAGCCTTGGCTACATGAGACTCTCTAAAAATTACATGAGGGTGGTATCCTAGTGCCTCGTAGAAATTGGTATATAACTAACAAGTAGGACTTCAGGGCTTCCTTAGCTATCATTAAAAGGATTGAGCCTAAAGTATTGTCTTCCTCCAAAATTAGGTAGCTGTTCCTATTCATAGATACTTCAGTGGAGTTAAGGTCTAATCCCTTTTTGCGTTGTTTAAAGCAGTGTGCCATCTTGTGGCTTTTCAGTTCTAGCAAAATTACAATGTAAACTTAGTGCAAGTATGTGGAGATACGATAGGTATATAATTAAATAGAGATAAACATCTAAGCACTTCCTGTCTACTGAATGCCTTCCTAGATACCCTATGGTATCTATGGATGAGTTATCTGCCTTTAGTACGCATAGTTTCTTGTTTTCAAGACACTGGCTGATAATGCTACCAGGCACAGGATCCTATGAGAATCATGTGAGCTAATCCATGCCATGTGTGCTCATCCTGGAACAGTGCTCGGGAACATTAGTCATCACTGTTATTTCCATAATACATTTTTTTAATTTTCATTTATTTCCCTAGTTTATAACTATTGTTTTAGTGTGCTTTCTGTTGCTGTTATAAGTGTTGTGACCAAGAGCAACTTAGAGGGAAGAAGCATTTATTTCAGATCACACTCTTGGGTCATAATCCAAGATTGAGGGCAGTCAGGGTGGGAACCCTGCTTGCTGGCTCACTCTGGACCTTCTCTTCGGCTGTCTTTATCATATAGGGATGGCACTGCCCACAATGGACTGGGCCTCCTACCTCAGTTATCAGTCAAGAATCTGCTCCATAGACATACTTACAGACCCCTCTGATCAAGGCAGTCTCCCAGCTGAGACTCCCTCAGAAGGTAACTTTGACAGCCGAAGCTGACTAAAACTACCCAACTCTACGTGATTTCACCTTTCTTTGCTAATAAGTGGAAGTCTAATAATGCTTTTTTTTTCTTTTTCCCTGGAATTTTTTTAACCTTGGAAAGGATATGAGAAATCTCTGAGCATACTAAGTAAGAGAATGGTAAGTCAGTGAGGAGCTAAAAACATAATGGTGAGAACATACTGACAAAAGAAATTCTTCCAGTTAGTACAGGCCTTGGTTATACACACAGGATGTCACTGGTGTATTTTTAATTATAATGCAAAATAAACCTTTCCTTAGATGACACTTCTACCAAGTGTTAATGTTTCCACACCCATTTCCTAGCCCAATGGGGGAAAACACACACACACACACACACACACACACACACACACACACCAATGTCAAAGAGCTCTGAAAAGCCAATGAGTTCCTACTCTAATGGGACAGCAGATGTATAGATAGAGCATTCAGCTCATTGCATCTTTTCCTCATACGCAGACGGCTATAATGTTCAGTAAGAGCACCTACCTTCGTCTCATCATTTATGTATTCAGCAAAAGTAGCCTTTTCTCCCATTGATATACCAAGTAATGGGGCATTGAAGTGGTGTTCCCTAGCTCCAGTTTCACAGAAACAAGGGTGCTGAATAGCTGGAGGTAGTGAAGCTATGTGACTTATTAGAGTTGGCACAAAGCAAGCCAGGAAGTTAGGGAAGCATTACAGTACACAGACACACACACCCCACAGCTTGAGATGGCTTAGGCAAATGTGGCATTTAAAAACAACCAGGAAACTTGGTTGGTTCCATTGAAGCAAACAAGTACAGGACCAATAATGACTATTTCCAGGAACTTGGGCTGTATATTTGGAACATTTTTGTTACATTCATATTCCTCACTCATAATTTTACTCCATAATAAGCCCACATTCTCCATGTTTCCTTGTTTACTGTCCTTTTCTCATACTCAGTCAATAAATATATTAGATGGCTATTATAGGAATCCTCCTCACTTGAAATCTGTAGCATTGTGCATTTGCTGGAGAATTTCATCTCTGTGATATCCTGCTCCCCAAGGCAGTACACCCCGCTCTCTTTGGCCTCCCAGTATAGATATTCTACTAAGTGGCCTATGTGACCCTCCCCACTTTCCAGCCATACCCACACCAATCTTTCCCTGGGCCAAAATTCTCACACCAAAAGTGCACTTTCCTCTACCAATTCATGTGTAACTCTTCCTTCAAATCTTCAGTCAGAAGCTGCCAATTTTAGGAAGTCACAATCGAGGCTACTCCTCCCTGCTCTCCTTTGGTTTTGCTCTGCATTCCCCATAGCACACTTTGCCGTGTTCTTCGTGAATGGATATGCATTACATCTGTTACTTCATGGACCTATGAAGCTTTGCTTGCCTTGACCATCTTTATACACACAGAGATCCAATGAAAGCTATTATAGAGAAAATTATTAGGTTAAAATCCTCTAATAAAGCACCATCTTGTATATATAAAAATCTTTCATGTATGTCAGTTTATAGCTGTCATTATACCTACTATGTCTTGTTTTATTTTTACTGTTATATGCATGTTTTCATCTTTCAGTCTCTTCAGAATGAAATTCAAATGAATTTGGCTTTTATTTCTCAGTATGTACAGTAAGCAAGATGCCAAAAGACCTTGTTTAGATGGAAGGTAACTTTCCAAATGTCAGTAAATTAACTAAATGTCTTTTAGGTTTATTGTAATTTGGTGTTGTCTCTTGTCTTACTTTTCTCCTTCCTTTGATCTGGTATTGAAGTCACAGTGCTACGGATGTTTTATGTACAAGAGATTTGATGTAAGAGTCACATCTGAGATCAAGGATTGTCCTTAGCTCCCTTGTGGCATGAGCTATAATTGGAACTGAAACCATCCAAGATGGCATACTAAGTGCGTGCAGATATCTCCAAAACGCAGTGCCCTCTCCATTCAGCAGCATCTGTTTACATGTTGCTCTGTCACTGTAGTTGATCTCAGAACAAAGACTACAGGGAACTAGGCACAGAGCAGCCAGGCTTTCAGCTCGTGCCTGGTGATTGTGGAAGTCCATGTCTGCAAGTTTAAATATGATACTCGCTGCAAACGCTACCAGCAAAATCGTGAGAAAGCAAGTCCCCTGGCATAAGCCGAAGTGGGAGGGCACTGCTGACCAATCTCATGTCCTGGTCCTGAGGTCCACTCATGGAACTTCTAGGTCATTGTGGAGCAGGGTTTGATATGCTGAAACCTCTTAGTTTTATGAATGCCAGAGATGTAGTCAAGCATTGACTGTAAATGTCTGTGGTGCTATGATTGATTGTATTTTCTTCCTGCATGCTCATCCATCGTGGTCTTTGTAAGTAGCAACAAATGAGCCTGATTTGTTCTCCTTTGTAGAGCCAGGCCGAGGCCCACTACAAAGGAAGTAAACATGCCAAGAAGGTCAAAGCACTAGAGGCAACGAAAAATAAACCCAAAATGGTTCCTTCCAAGGACAGCGCAAAGGCTAATCCCAGCTGCTCCATCAGGCCAATCACAGGCGACAGCTCTGACAAATCAGGTCAATGACACTTTTTGTTCTTCGGCATTGTTGTGTTCTCCTACCCCACCCACCTACCCCAACCCCATTTTCCTCCCCCTTGGATGTTGCATGTTACTCTCCATGATTTATTTTGTAATATGATGTTTATTTCACAAGAAGGAATATGTGTTAGCACAAAATGCAAACATTTGATATGCTGCCATTCCATGTTGTGAAATATATGCATTTAAATATATGTGTGTATATAAGTATATATGTATCAAAATAATCAAAGGCTACTGGTCACATGTTCAGACAAGCATCAAGTAATGGATATAAAACAGTAGTATCAGTATTCCCTCTTTCTGTTCCTTTGTGTTTGGTTTGTGTTACAGGCTTTTTTGGAAAGATATTCTTAAGCTTGTTAATAATAGATTTTTTTCTTGTATTTCTAACCTCAGTGAAGAGTTGGGGGTGACATTTTCAGAGAGAATGACATTAGTGGGTATGAAAATGTGCTTAGAAGTAACGGATTCTGACTTCCTAACACCTTTGTGAAGCTCTTCTCTGAATTACAAATTGACCCAAATAATTTAAAGGAATTATTTACAACACCATGAATTGCTTAACAGAAAGTCTTAATATATAATTAGAAATGTGCTGTTGATGGAAGTGCCTCATAAGAAAATTCTTTAATCCAGAACCTGTATTATCTGAGTAAGTCCTTTCAGTGCGAAACAAAATTCTCTTTCTCCTTTTCAGTGTGGATACCATGAAATTGGATGTTGATGGGCTTCCCTCTCACAGCTGCCCTTGGGACGCATAATGGATTTGTCATCCTGTTTTAGTGGCTAGCTGAGAAACAGTGTCTGTTAAAGGACACTAGGAGGACATGTCCCTTTTTTTATGTTTGATTCTGGCATTCGGGACTTCTATGTTGTGGGAAATGCACACTTCAGGTTCTCTCCTGATCATCAAAACCCCTGTAGCCCTTGAGGAGGAAGCTGAAGAATGCTTACCCATGACTGCCCAGGACCACTGGAGACCAGCAAATCCATTACTGTAAAAGGAGAGTTCAGAAAGCGTCTTCAAATAAGAAAGCTATGTACAAAGGAAACATTATTGCTTAAGTTCCATAGATGCTGTCTCCAAAAGCATGAACTTAAGCCTAGAATTAAGCTACCAAATTTGGTGTTAATAAAAACAATTCTTTGTGTTTTATATGATGGGATCACCAAGTTATCTTATCAGAGAAACATGGTAAATACTGGATTGTAACATAGCGCTTCTAATGTTGTAAACAACAAAACCCCTCTATAGACAAATATAAAACCTAATATTTAACATGTGTCTAAAGCAGTTATTAGCATAGAAACCAAGCACTATCTCCGTGTGTGCAATTTCACAGCCAGCATCACAGCTCATGGTGAGGCCTCCTTGAAGACAGCTATCTGCTAGGGTTTGCCCTGTGTTTGGAAGAGCAGAGTCCATCATCCCCTGACTTCCTGCCAGCTTTCATTTCCCACAGAATATTGTTGCCTTTATGAAGCAATACTCTGCCAAAGGTTTTATTAGCTGAACTGTGGTCTTTACCTCCAGCAGAACTTACAAGTAAAAGGATAAAATAATGGAGGTTAGTGTCACCCCATCCCTTCAGTTTATTTTGTGGCTTGAGCTAATCAAAGAGTCGGTGGGCTCTATAAATACTCCAGTGTCGCAATCAAATGTGCTCAGTGTTTTGCTCAAATCCAGAATTGTGTTTGCTGTAAGGACAGTAGTAAAAGGAATGAGTAGAAAGTTAAGTAGAAAGAGTCAAAGTGTAGAGGAGCTAGAATCAAGGACACAGCAATGTAGACATAGAAAATGCAAAGGAGAGAGACCAGGTTTAGAATCACAGCCTCTCTTAGGCCTGTAGGGTGCCTACTGAAGACTGTTGAAATACATTTCAACAGTTCAAGGTTTTTCTTCCAACATTTGAATGTTAGTATTCACCAAGGACGTATGTTCCTGAAACAAAGAGACCTCCTAGGCAGCTGTTTGCCTGGTGAGTTATTAGAACAATCTAGAGTCAAGGATGCCTGGGATCTAAACAAAGAAAGAAAGCTGAGGTTCAGGAGAAACCCTGGGGGATGAGAGCGGAAAGATGAAAACAGAAATCACAATGACAGTGTCTCTAAGGTATATGTGAGGCAGTCTTTAACCCTGCAGTCTCAGCTTTACCTGTCAGGGTACTGCATGTCCCTGCCATAGTACCTGTAGTCTCTCAGTGCGAGACTCTAGATTTGCACCAGCAGTAAGGGAAATATTTGTATTTGGGAGCACCTCATTTTTCACGACACCTTATTCAAAATCTATATATTTGCAAACACATTGATTAGATTACTCGTGGTTTGTGTAAGTATTAATGTAAATGAGATATGTTGTTTCTATGAGACCTAACAAAACACTGACATCAGTTGGAAGCAGTATTTTAAAATAATTGAGTTGTACTTGTTAGATGTATGTTCTTCCCCTTTAGCTGAAACTCATTTCTAAACAAGAATTCCTTGGTCTTTTGTAAAATTTCCAAATGAGAAAATTAGAAGCTTTGTGCCAGTATGATCTAAATAACATAGCCAGCCGTGAATTGCTAACCTCCTAGTTCTAAGCGCTTGAACTGCTCCTGTGGCTTTGCTATTATTATAGATTCTAGTCTGTGTCTCTCATTCATTTAAAATCCTATTTGGGAAATGCAGAAGACAAAAACAATATGTCCTAGGTAGAATAGGGTGAGAGAGGAACGGTGTCTTGTGATGCTTAGCTGGCCGAAATGCTTTGTCAGACAACATTGCCTCTAAAGAGTTAGCTGAAACTGAGTCAGCCACAGGGACTCCACGCCTGATAGTCAAGTCCCGTGAGACTGAAATTCCCCAGCGGTGTTTTTTTTTCTTCTGAATGAGCAATCCCTCTCTACTAGTTTTAGTGTTTGGATGAGAAGTCAGCCATCTGATTTCTGAGCTGCTGGATTCCAATGACATAGACAGCTATTACATCCGCAGAATTTCACTAATCCAACTTCTAGTCTCACATTTTAGTATCAATTTAGCAGCAGAACGTTGTTACAGGGAAGCACATTTTGAAGGAAAAGAAAGAGGCCCGCATTGAGGGAGGCAGCTTTCTGGGATTCATTGAGTACCAGTGAACATGAGGTGAGGATGTGGAGTGTCTCCTGAGGAACATGGAGGCCTTGAAGACCTCTCTTGATCCTTCATGCTACCCAAGAGCATACTCAGTTTGTTCTGAGATGTGTACTCCCCATCTTGCAGGGATTGGGGGAGCCTTCCTACCTGCAAATTTGACACTTGGTGTAACCATTTCTCTCTTTTATGTTATATTTGGAAACATAATTTGGCTCATGTTGAATTCGGGTCTGTACAATACAGGGAGATTTGTTATAATAGAGCCAACAGATATAAAAATGTCAGAATGACATGGCAAGCTCTCCGGAGCTGTCTCTCGGGTCAGTAAACAAAATAGGTTTAAACTACAATAGCAGGTGTCTCATTTATAGGAAATTCCAACTGCTTGACTTTTTAAAGGCTAAAGAAAGTTGAGTAAGAATAACTGCCCCCACTCAATTCTTAGAAGTTGAGGTAGAATTAAATGTAAAATGCAGACAAATAGCTTTCTAGTCTCCCAGGATCTGCCCCAATGTTTAATGATGCTTCAGTGGGCGTTGGAAACATAGTGAGGAAGGGGAGGGAGGCAGTTGTTGGGGAGAATTAGGGTCAGAACACAGCAAGCATTAGGCAGCTTCAGGAAGACAGCTGGAATAGATAGACCAGACACTGCACCCAAATCTCTCCCTGGAGTTCAAGTGTCCTGATGGCATGAGAAACCTCCCATTCCTGTGATGATATGCCTCACAGATCACACTGAAGGCTCTTTTTAGTGTTTCAGAACTTGTAACAAGTTCAAATTCACAGAGCCTTTGAAGTAAACTTTATTTCTTACAAATAATAAATCATCTACCCAGTCAGCCATGTTCCATAATCCTAGGCATTGTATAAGGCCTTTAAAAATTAATGAACTATTATAACAGAGAAAAACATTCCTAATTTAAAGTATATATGACCTAGAACTAAGAAGGCTTTTAAATGGTTGCTCTCCAAACAAAGGAAGGCATGAGGAATGATCTCCAGTGTCCAGCTAAATTTATACATACAATTAAGAGCAAAAACAAAGGGCCCAGAGTGTTCTGCATGAAATAAAACCATAGGAGCATTATAAACATGCCTGGTTTATAGAATGCAGACACGTAAATGTTTTCATGTGGACCCTTCAGGAACCTTGCAACAAGTAGGCCCAAAGCCGATATCCACCTTTTCTTCAGTCATACAACCAGCTGGATTTGCATACTGTTGGTTATCCTCTGTACTGTAGTATAATATGGTATGTGTATGTGCTTTGGCCAGATGAGGGATTACAACAAAGCATAGAAACATTTTTTTCCTCTTTGAAATGATTTTTCAGTCTTAGGACATTTTAAAATTAGGAATGAGTGATATAAAGATAAATAATATGCAGTCACCACCACCTTCTAGCTGCTCCCCAGAATGTGGTATCAGTGAAGAACCAGAAACTGGAAAAGTAGAGCATCTTGAGTATGAACCTGCATGACTCAGATCCCAGCAAATCAGGAATAACCAGGAACTCGGGCTTCTTGCTCCAGCATCCTTTGATCCCAGTGGTTTCTAACTTCTCTGAGTTAGAAGAACACATGCAGGAATGCAAGGGGATAAAGTCAGGTATCACCAAAGAACTGTTCCCCAGAATTAGAAAGTGGGACTTTACTCTTCAGTGACTATGGACATGTCAGGTACTCCCAGTGACTGTGAGAGGTGACATAATGCATTGTGTTGTTGATAATCCTAAAATTCTTGTGTGGCAGTTGCCTACAGTGCTGAACTATAATAGGAAGAAGCTTTATTATGGAAGTGATGGGCTTTTTATTTCAGGGGAAATTTAAATAAAACCATTCACTTCAGGTAAACGGCATA